CAAGCAAGTGTCATCTTATAAATATCTGGGTATAATGATCGACCATCTGTTGTCCTGGGAAGATCACATCGACTACATCTGTAAAAAGACAAAACAAAGAATTTATTTCCTCCGCCGTCTGAGATCTTTTGGGGCGAGTCGACAGATTCTTCTTTTGTTCGTTACCTCTGTGATTCTAAGTGTCCTACAGTCCTGTAACACCTCATGGTATATGTGTCTGTCCACCACTCTGAAGTCTAAACTGCTCCAGCAGGTGAACATCTGCTCTAAGATTGTAGGCCAACCCATGCAAAGACTCTATGAATCGGCCTACAACAAAAGCATTTCAAGACTGGCTAACTGCATCGCCTCTGACCCTGACCACGCTCTGAACACGGAGTATGAACTGTTACCATCAAACCGGAGATACAGGGTCCCACGTTTTGATAAGGTCAGACTGAAACACTCTTTTGTTCATCAATCAATCCTAAAATTTAATGTGGAGCTGAATCCTCGACCAAAGCACGTTTAGGGCCTCTGGGCATTTGCTTGGCGTTTGAGTGTTGTTTCAAATGTTTGTATCTTGAGTGTTGTGTTGTGTTTGAGTGTTGTTTCAAATGTTTGTATCTTGAGTGTTGTGTTGTGTTTGAGTGTTGTGTCAAATGTTTGTATCTTGAGTGTTGTGTTGTGTTTGAGTGTTGTTTCAAATGTTTATATCTTGAGTGTTGTGTTGTGTTTGAGTGTTGTTTCAAATGTGTTGGGGTTGTATCAAGTCAACTTTGGTTATATTCTTTAATAATTATACTTAATTATTAATAATATAAATAAAATATCATTAAACTATGTTTAATCTCGTTTTGGTGCACCAACCTGTAATCAGGTAAATATAACCAAAATATCACTCAAATCAGTCTCAAATTAGTTATTTAATTACTAATATTATTAATAATGAATAACTATGTTTAATAAATTGAAGGCGTGAAATCCGTACACAAAGCCTTCGCACCCAGCTTATATCACAATGCAAACACACCAGTAATCACAAACAACTTCTCTCTTAAATTATAACAGAATTTATTTAAACAAAGCAACATCAATCCAAAATCAATGAACTTAATTAAACAAATAACTATTATAAACTAATCTAAGCAACAAACATTATCAAGCAAAGGCTTGTGGAAGGGGTGTGAATGTTGGTGTGTGTGTGTGTGTGTGTATGTGTGTGTGTGAGAGAGAGAGAGAGAGAGAGAGAGAGAGAGAGAGAGAGAGAGAGAGAGAGAAGAAAGGGGGGGGAGATGGCTTCGTACCCTCGTGGTCGTTCACGATGGCGCAAACCTAACAAAGACTGGGTGCGTGCGCGTGTGGATGAAAGGGAGAGAGAAGGGGGGGGGAAGATTACTTCGTCCCACGTGGTCGCCCTTCCGATGGCACACACCTAACAAAGGCCTAAATGTGGCCTTAAGGTCTAAAAGAGACTGAGTTCGGCCCTACACAATCTGTGTCTCTGAGGCGTCTGGATAGCCGCGAGTGTATAGATCTCTGTGCGTAATGGCGCGGTGGTGGAGTTGGTCTCCAGATGTACGTTTACACAGGAATATGTGTGTGTGTATGTTCGTAGAAGGGGAAATAAAAGAGAATAAAAGAGAAATGCGTGCCTGAAGAGGCCGGATCACAGTCCGACTCCCGCGCCACAACTCGGAGTAATTCCCTTCATTCACAGAAACAAACCAATAGCCGAATTCAAGTTAATACAGCTTACACTGGCCTTTCTGATCAGGAGAGTAATACCCGGTTATAACGCTGTTACGCTAAACACATATAGGACGCAGCGGTCCGAAACAACAAGAGTTTTAAACAGTTAAAACTCAGGACGCAGGTCCAACAAAGATAAAAATTACAGTTTCTGCTTTGATCAACAATTGTTAAAAAACACTCTCTAAAGCTAATTCTGCCCAGACCTAATTAAGCCTCACTTGTGAATCGCTTTGTCCGCGATTGGTGAAAGGAAAAGAGTCCGGCGATGGAGCAGATCTTCTGTCCGTCCTGGTGCAGAGGCGTCTGATGGCGGCGAGGGTCCCTTACGGCGAGAGCAGCTTCGTTGGTTCTCCGTCGAGTGGAAAGATGTCCTTTGATGTCCTTTCGTTGCAGGACGGAATAAGACCGTTATCTTTCTGATAATCTGTTATAGTCTGACGCTCTCCGAGAAACTGAGATGCGTTCACTGGACAATCCGAGCTCGGAATTTAGAACACTGCCGGCCGCGGATTACCTGCGCGCCAAAAACTTAAAACAAAGGAAGATTGTTGCAGGAAACAGGAGATCTTCTTGGGTCTCCGAGCACCGAAGGTCAGCGCGTGAAAGAGAGCGAGCAATGGAAGTCTTGGAGCTTTGTAGCCTGGCCTGCTCCATGGGGGGTCTACCTCAGGTCCCCTCCAATGAGGAGAGAGAGGTTCCGGTCCCCCCTTTACTTCACACGTAGGTGTGAAGTACCGCAGGGGATTCTGGGATTAAGAGTCCTTTTAGGCCTCTTTGTGATCTCAGTGAATAACTCAAATGAGGCTTTTACAGAGGTGCAGGCCCAAATCCATTGTTTGACTGTCCTAAGCCTGCGTGGCCCAACAAATGTTTATATCTTGAGTGTTGTGTTGTGTTGAGTGTTGTTCAAATGTTTGTATCTGATGTGTTGTGTGAGTGTTGTTTCAAATGTTTATATCTTGAGTGTTTGAGTTGTTTCAAATGTTTGTATCTTGAGTGTTGTGTTGGGTTTGAGTGTTGTGTCAAATGTTTGTATCTTTGTTTCCTGTCTTAATTGTTGTGCCGCAAACGGAGCCGCTATGACGCAAGGCAAATTTCAGACTACGTCTGACAATAGAGTATTATCTATCTATCTATCAATTACAAGAATAAAAGAGGAGCAATAATCATAACTAAAAGAGAAATATGACAGTATGCCACCAATGAACTTTTTTGTTGACATTCATTGAGCTAATTGTAGTTTACTTCATGTTCAAATCTAATCTGACTTTGCAATAGGAGAGCACCTGAATTTGTTTTGCTTCAAAGTCAAATAAATAGTTTTAAAATAAATAAAAAAGTAACTTAAGTAAACTCTCTTTCTAAATCCTTGATGTTCTGTAAAATTTGCCTAAAATACTGGAAACATTTTAACGGCCCGGCCCGTCAGAACCGAACCGTGACCAAAAAACTGAGGTACGTATTGAACCGTGGCTGACTGTATTGTAGCATCCCTAGTTGTGTGTGTGTGTGTGTGTGTGTGTTGTGTGTGTGTGTGTGTGTGTGTGTGTGTGTGTGTGTGTGTGTGTGTGCGTGTGTGTGTGTGTCTGTGTGTGTCTGTGTGTGTGTGTGTCTGTGTGTGTGTGTGTGTGTGTGTGTGTGTGTGTGTGTGTGTGTGTGTGTGTGATGAAGGTAATAAAGTAAGTTGGGACACTAGTCTGTTGCTTTTGTATTGGGTCTTGTTGTGGTTTTAAATAGCAGAATATATACTTAAGGAACACAAATCTGAATGCTTCATCTTACCTCTATAATAACATACAAAACACTATACAGTAATGTAACAGGTTATAATATGTAAAAAATAAAGGTAAGCTACATGTCTCTTTAACCCAGTGGTTCCCAAACTTTTTTTGCCAGGCCCCCCCTTGAACATAAAAATGGCTTTGGGGCCCCCCAGATGTTACTGAATACATTTTGTGTGTGTGTGTGTGTGTGTGTATACAAAAAATACTGACAATAACATCCTTTTTTAGTCAAATATCTGTATTTTTAGAATTTATCTGAGATTTGCCAAAACAGAAAAAGAATGGCAGCATCAACGTGTGAAGATTAAACTTAAACAAAAATATCATGCTAATTCTAAAGTAGCAATAAAGAGTATAACTGCAACATTCAACTGAACACTTTTTTTAAGATGCAACAGTAATAATTGTTTTTTAAAAATGTTCTTGACTCTCTGCAAGTAAACAGCTCCTTCTGAAAAACTTAATGAAAATCTTCTTTCAAGCTTATTCTCCCAGTCCTGAAAGAATTTCAGTGACTTGTGTGTGCTTGTTTGTGCTACAGATCTTCTCCAGCCTGGGCTGCAGCTGTGAGACAGCCACTCTCAGTTCATTTTCAATGTTAGCTTTGATCTGTATTTTGTCTTGATTGATGCAACTGCTGAAAAACCTATCTCACATAGGTAGGATGTGGCAAATGGGAAAGTGTGCCAGAGCTCTCCTGCCAAGCAGTGGGTACTCCTTTCCTACTCCAATCCAAAATGCAGACAATGTCTTGGTCTTGAACTGCAGCCGCAGTGTTGAGTCTGAGGTGACATCGATGAACTGTTCCTCCTCTGCAGTGCTGAAGTCATCAGCTGGGGTTGCACTGAAAGGTCTCGGATCCAGTCATATTTTGCAGAATCTTGCAGCGGGAAATACCTCTGGAAGTGTGTTTGAAGGGCAGAGATGTGGCTTTTTACACATGGGATCACTGTGTTCTGCAGCTTGTTCCCCTCAATAATTGATTTCAGGCTTTCAAATGAGTCTATATTCCCATCTGTAACTCGCTGCTCCCACAGCTCCAGTTTTCTTGTGAAAGATGTAATTTTATCTGCCACCTGTGGGAGGTGTGTCTTGGTGCCCTGCATCTGCAGATTTAGTTCATTGAGTTTTTGAAATATGTCACTGAGATATGCAAGTTTCATGAGAAAGTTGTTGTTTTTAAACTTGTGGGCAAGTTCATTCCCTCTTCTCCAAGAAGATTCTGATCTCATCCGCAGTTCAAACACCCTGGACAAAACCTTTCCACGTGACAGCCACCGGGACTCACTGTGGAACAATAAAGCAGTGTGACCAGAGCCCATCTCCTCGCACAGTGCAGAAAAATTCGGGCTTTGACAGGCCTAGTCTTTAGAAGTTTACCGTGGTAATAATATCTGTCATCACATCGTTAAGCTCAGGACTCAGCTGTTTAGAAGCGAGCGCTTCTCTGTGGATCATGCAGTGCGTCCACTGCACGTCGGGGAGACGCGCTTGATGAGCGCCTGCAGCCCTCCCCGTTTCCCTGCCATTGCCTGGGCCCCATCCGTGCAGATGCCCACACAGTCGTTCATGATCGGCCTCTTTCAAGTAAGTGTCGATGATATTAAACAGCTCAGCTGCAGTCTCTATTCATCACACGTTTACAGAAAAGCAAATCCTCCCTCAGATCATCAGCGTCGATGAATCTGACATAAGTTATTAATAAGCAGTCCTTGTTGCTGTCGGTCGCTTCATCCACCTGCAGGGCAAAACGGTTGTCCCGTATCTTGTCATTAAGCTGCTCCTCGATGTCTTTTGACATGTCATAAATACGTCTTGCAATAGTATTGTTTGACAGAGGGATAGTTTTTAATTTACTGGCTGTTGCTTCGTCAATCGTAGTAGAGACCATATCAACAGCGGCGGGCAGTATTAATTCCTCCGCGATGGTGTGTGGCTTTTTACACTTAGCAACTCGATATGTTACTTTATATGACGCCAGTTGAGCATTTGACGGCTGCTTTGGTAAAGGTGCTCTGCTGTGCATGACAGCTGAGAAGTTTCTTTGTGAAGAACTCAACAGGCTTGTGTGTGTGTGCGGGACGGGTTGTTTCTAGATGGCGTTTTAACTTGTTTGGCTTCATGCTGTCAGATGCTCATACTTTAAAGCACAACACACACTGTGGTCTCTCTTCGTTACCCACCGTTGTACAGGTGAAGCCGAGGGCGAGATATGACTCGTCATACTTTCTTGTCTTTGATTTTGATGTGCTATCTGATGAAGACTCATTGTCAGCTTTACGTTTTGCTGGAGGTCCTCTCTCAATATTCGCCATGCTTTGCTAGTTGCGCTAACTGTAGTTTGGAAATTGGAACTTTTCTTCTTCGTCTTTTCCCCCCAAACTTTTCGCGCCCCCCTGTCATTGCGCCGCCGCACCAGGGGGGCGCATGGCCCACTTTGGGAACCACTGCACTAGGCTATGTCTCCCCTCCCCTCCCACATCCCTCCTCCCCTCTCTTCCCTCTTAGAGAGACAGCACAGCTCCTGTTTCCTCAGTCTGACGCCGGCTGTACGCGAGGGTAGACGATGCTCCTCAGCAGGATTTTTGGTGATTGGATCTCGGTGCTTATATGTAAGTAGCTTCTTTAACACTGGTATCAAGGGGATACAATGCTTCTTTTCTATTCAGCAGATTATTTAAAAAAGGGTGAAATGATTTTGTTCTCAGCGGCAGCGCGTATCCTCTGCCGAAATATCTCGAGTTTAACTTGTGTCAACCTCCCGATTTATGAGTGTTAAAAGTTGTAACCTGATTGTGAGGATTTATTTTACGATAGGCTACTTACTGGGTGTCTCTCAAAACCCGGATTTTACCGAGCGGAAACATGTCTCCATAACCTGCACAGTGGATAATGACATATTTAGACATGTGCGTCCCGCTTGTGATTGTGATGTGGTTGTGGAGATAACACTACGAGGAGACTACAATAGCGGAAACTTGAGTCGGTTGGATAACCTCTTTGAAACCACAAGTGGATACTGGGTTCGTGACTGAGTGCTATACAGTTCATCATTGGGCACAGGAGGCATTGAGGGATCACTGTGACGTAGTAGGCGCATATGCTCGTTTCTCTCCTTTAGCATTTGAGGGACGCACTTGAATGTCTGCAGTGTGCCGTTTTCTGCTCATAGCCTCTGCCTGATTTAATCCCATATTATAATATCAGACTGTTATTATAGATATCATAATGCATTTTTTAGGTTACACAGAGGATTCATTGTTGTCATAGTGACTACAAAGTTTAAGCATTGTCGGGAAATGCTTCAAACCTTAAAAAAAAGGGTACTGCCATGTTACCACGAACTCTCTGAAAACAGAAATATCTGTACTTATGGTCTAAAATGTAACTGTTAAACGTTTAAGACCAAGTGTGGGGGAAGTGGAGGAAAACACGTTATAGGCTAATTGTAAAGTTAGGCTGCATTCATTTACTGTTGTGAAAACAACAGGTTTGTAAAACCCTGGTGTAGGGTCTTTCTTTAAGGCAGTCTGCTTCAAAATTATTATTTATTATGACATTGCAAAATGTAGGCTACTCAATAAATAGTCCCATCTATAAAACACTCAGTATTTGGTAGCCTACTTTTGACAGGGCCCCAATAACTTGTTTTTGTCTTCCTAAATTGTGCTGTTTTGATGTCTCAGGGCAACTATAGGTATCCCCTATCATAAAACAAGGAGTAAGGTGTTTTACCTGCTCTTTGTTAAGGGTCTTGAGATAACATTTAATTTGACGCTATACAAGAATAAAGATTGACTGATTACAGATGATCTGATGTTGTAATGGTGGATTTTAGCAGAAGAAAATGTAACGCGTTTTAAAGAAATGATGTCAAACTTTTAAACCGAAGGATGTGACAGGTAGCCTTTATGAGTAACACATTTTTAAAAGGAAAGACACCAAAGTGAGATCCATTTCTTGTGTTACTTACCCCAACATCTCTCTCTCTCTCTCTCTCTCTCTCAGTCTTTGTCTTAGCCTCTGTTGGGGTCACTCTACCTGTCAAAGCGAGTGAGAAAAAGAACGTGAAAGCTGGAGAAAAAATCACTCTGCTGACCGGATTCACTGATCTACGTGGTGAATATTCTGTTTGGTTGTATTTGAAGAATGGCACCCAAAAAGACACACTCATCAAATGTGATGGAGAAAAAGTGGAGTGTGCGCTCTCTAAGATGTCTGAAGGAAAACTGGACAGAGAAAATGGCTCTTTGACATTTGGGCCGCTAAACGTGGCGGACAGCGACGTTTACGTGATACAAACCACTAATGGAGACAACAAGTTTCTTGAAAAAGACTATGAAGTCACTGTGTCTGGTGAGTGTTTTAACATGCCAAAATGTGTGTTCAGGTTTGTGTATGTGTGTGTGTGTGTGTGTGTGTGTGTGTGTGTGTGTATTCTTCATGGGGGGAGGATTAATTCTTTATTATGTGTGACATAGGCCTACACTAAAAATATGAAAATATGAAGAGAAGAACAAATTGTTGTTGAGAGTTCACAACAATGTCATTTAAATTCACAAGCAAAAGACTCAAAAAAGACTTCAAAAAGACAACTGGAGAAGATCTTAAACACTTTGACACATGAACTACTGACAATTTTCAGACATTTTATGGTAACTCCTGATTTACCGATTCTATTTATCCTGAATCGTCTTTCAAGCATCAAACTCAAAACTGGAGGTTATCTGTAGGTTAAGTGGGCAGCATATCAAAGACGAGTATTCAATAATGGTGAGTGTTTCTGTGTTACTATCACATGTATAAGAAGTTTATGCAATACAATAACAACAGTAGAATACATCAAAAGGACAACTGAGTATAAAGCAGAGAAACTCAACATGAACATCATCAACACCTCTCGGTCTCACTCACCATGATTCTAACAGAATATTACCGGTTGCTTTCACACATCAGCTCATCCGGACTTCACAGGGCCTGATCCACAAAAGGACTTCTCAGCTTTTGCATCCTGCAAATGAGACAAAAAGGCACCGGAAAAAATCACAACGCAAAGGGTCAAATGCACTCCGAACTGTGCTACAGAGCAAAAAGCGTCCTGCTTTGGTACTGTCTGCGCTTATATAAATAAACCATTATGGATTAATTTCGGCCAAGCTGGACCCTTTTTTTTTTTTTTATTTTTTTTATTTAAAGAGCCTTGTTGCAAAAAAAGGCCCAATTTAAAAACACCTCCACTGACATCCACAAATATTCAGAGTGACAATTCTGGGATTTCTTAAGGAGTGAAGACCATGTGACAGGTTGTCTGAAATGTTTGTGTGTCTTCACTGTTTTCTGGTTTTGGGAACTCACACCTAACCAGCTGAATTTCAGGTTCTCGCTGGTCTTCTCAGCCTCACAGCTGCTAAAAAATCTTGTTGTCTTTTTTGTTTTTGTTTTACAGAGTCTAAGACATCCACTGGATCCCAAAACTCTGCTCACTACCAGAGGGCTCGCCTGGCATCTATCTTAACTGCTGCTGCCTGCGTTGTGTTGCTCTTGTGAGCAGCTCAGTACGGAAAATCTCAGGGTCAGTACTTTAATGTATATAGGTAGTATATCATCAACACACATAATGTTACTGCAACAGAATCACCTAAATCCCAGGATCTGCTCGAGGAAGTGCCAAACATGAAGGAAGCTGTTGTAGTTTATTATCTGTGTTGAATCCACGTTGTTTTCCATATTGATTTTTTTTCACCACAGACAGATGTATCAAATGTTTTTCATACAGTCACTCACTTGTGCACAATAATGACAACAGGAGGAGATAGTTAATGAAATAATCAGACATGTGAATCAAAGTCAACAGACACATTCAAAAGGACATCTACATACATGATGATGTACCGACATAGTAAATAAAGAAATTAAAAATACCTAAATGAAAATAAAAAAGAGATCAAGTAATAGTATTTATAATAATAGTCAAATCCACTTTTAATACTTCTCCTCTGCCAGTGGGTTGTTCTAGTTAGTTTGAGCTCTTCAAAGTTCGAAATGGGAAATCGTGCTACAAACAAAATGTAAGAAAGTAATCAGCTCGGCAGAAAAAAAAAAGCTTCGGGAGCAGTTGTGACCAAGCTAACAGTTAGTATACTTTGTGGTTTATAACTGTTGAATTAAACCTCTGATTAAATCCTTGAAGCCCTTTATTTAAATCTGGTGCATGTACACGCTGTCCAATAAAAAGTGAACCTGAAAAATAAAGACAACAGTAGAGAGAAGCCAGACAGAGGTAACAAGTTGACTTTATGTTGACTGCTGCATCCAACCTGTATTAATCAGACTTTAACAAACCCTAAACACAGTCAGCCTGGGTTTTATTTACATCTTAAACTACTGCTCCTTTGTTACCACAAGACATTAATCATGTTTTTATTTGTGTATGACAGGAAATGTGAGCCCGCCTTCCTGCCTATGCAACCACCCAGTGTGTGATGCTCAGCCATCGGAACATTATCTCCCCTTCCTTGTCCATGCTTTTATCTTCAGTCGTCTTGATTACTGCAACAGTGTCTTTACAGGTCTAAAACATCAGTCAGACAACTGCAGCTGATCCAGAACGCTGCTGCTAGAGTCCTCACCAAGACCAAGAAAAAGGATCACATCAGTCCAGTTCTGAGGTCTGGCTCCCAGTCTGTCAGAGAATAGACTTTAAAATCCTGCTGCTGGTTTATAAAGCGCTTAATGGTTTAGGGCCAAAATACATGAGTGACCTCCTGATTAATTACGAACCATCCAGACCGCTCAGGTCGTCTGGGACAGGTCTGCTCTCTGTCTGCTCTCTGTCTGCTCTCTGTCTGCTCTCTGTCTGCTCTCTGTCTGCTCTCTGTCTTCTCTCTGTCTTCTCTCTGTCTTCTCTCTGTCTGCTCTCTGTCTTCTCTCTGTCTGCTCTCTGTCTGCTCTCTGTCTTCTCTCTGTCTGCTCTCTGTCTTCTCTCTGTCTTCTCTCTGTCTGCTCTCTGTCTGCTCTCTGTCTTCTCTCTGTCTTCTCTCTGTCTGCTCTCTGTCTTCTCTCTGTCTGCTCTCTGTCTGCTCTCTGTCTTCTCTCTGTCTGCTCTCTGTCTGCTCTCTGTCCCCAGAGTCAGAACCAAACACGGAGAAGCAGCGTTCAGTTTCTATGCTCTTTATATCTGGAACAAACTCCCAGAAAACTGCAGGTCTGCTGAAATCGAGGTTGAAGACTTACCTGTTTACAGCTGCCTTTCATTAAACAATTTTAATAAGATTTTAAATTTTAACTCTGCACTCTAACTTTTAACTCTTTTTATATTTTTACTTTATTTATTTCAATTAATTTCATTTGAATTATTTTTATTTGAACATATGTTCAGATTTAATAATTCCAGTGATTTCTTTTTTTAATGTTCTATTTTAATGTTTCTTTTCTTTCTTCTGTCATGATGCTTTTGATGTCTTGATGACTTTGAATTGCCTTGTTGTTGAAATGTGCTACATAAATAAATTTGCCTTGCCTTCCCATCAAAGAGCTAATTGAAAAAACTATTCGCTATGCACAACATGCACTCCATGACATTCCACTTTTAGAGATTGATTGTGTTTTGTGGACCTAATGAGGCCTTGAAGTCATTTCACTGTATTTCTCCTTGCTGTCGTTTTCCAGTTGTGTTCTCATCTCCTTCCTGTTCCAAATTATGTTTTTTTTATTTAAAAATATGGACCAAAGTTTTGACTGTATGAATAATTGAAGAGATTTTAGGATGGTACTGCTGGCCCAGACAAACAAAGAAAGATTAACTTATTAAGAATGAGTTTGTGAAGAGTAAAAGGTTGTTTATTTGCTGTGGGTTGACGATATTTGGTACATCATGGTGCTACAAATGAATCAATAAATTATTCTTTTGGGGAAAGTGATATGTTGTTTTATTACTTTTATATGTTATATGTTTCTGTTCACAAAGGAATTGACTCTATAGGCGTAAAGCTGACACCTTCTTCTTCTACTGCAGCTGAATCTGTGAATGATTCTGACTTTTTACAGAATGAAGGATTCAATAACAGAGATGTTTATGAGTTGTCAATTACATCACAGACGTATCTAAATACATTTGAAACAAATGCTGTCAGAAGAGATGATAGATGCCACATGATCACAGAGATAAACATGTGAGTTTAATGCTCATGTGGAGGCCTACCCACTGACATGCAAACAGCTGGACCTCTGCCACTGAAGGTACAGGGAGTGGGCCGTCCACAAAATAGATTTATTCATATTGACACATCACTTTCAACATTATTAAATGTCAATCTTCTATGTGACTGCATGGGGCAATAAAAACACAGGTACAGGGATAAACAGTGGAGTAATGAGGAAAAGTCACTGCAGTGAGTTTTGGCTCTGGCTACAGGGAAACCCCACGCAGCCAAGAAGAGAGGCAGACAGAAAACTGGGTTGTAGAGGCAGAACTCGTAGTAGGGATGGCAGGGGGAGTGGAAAAGTAAAACTGTGACATTCCCTAAACTACCTTCAATTAGAAATAGGCAATTAGGCAACTCTGGGGCAAAAAATGGATTCCCCACCACGTGTGTAACTGTGCTTGTCATGGTTCGGTGTGTAAAACAAGGGAGTAGGACCCAAGTGCAGAAGAACTAAAAATATTTATTTTAAACAAAAAGTCAAAAAACAAGACTTACTGCTCAACAACAAAAAACAAAAACAAAGGGAGCCACAAGGAATCACAGGAGCACGAGCAAAACTTACATCTGACAAGGACCAACACATGACAAACAACACTGATAACTTACAAAGAATGTAAAAATATGTACAGACTAGAACATAGAGGGACTCGAGGATACAAAATAACACAGGAAACACTAATGACTAATCTAGAAAACACACAAGGGAAACACCAGGGAAGACTGAGAACTAAAAGATAAATAAATCTAAACAAAACTAAAACAGACCAAATCATGACAGTGCTGTCCAGTGTGTGTGCCTTTCCTGTCTCTGCATTCCCAACCGCTCTATATCACAGTAGGCAAAAGGAGGAGGGAGACCCGACAGAGAGCCGTTCTTTAACTGGACTCTCTCCAATCAGACTCCATGACAGGAAAACACACTCACAGCTGAATGAGTCACCCTTGATGTTGTTATTTTAGAGCTAGGGAGAGGGGCAAAATAAATGAATACATGAAAGAGTCAGATTAGATTACATAGCCCTGTAAAAACTCTTCAGAGACACATGCGAGATAAACATGTGAAGAAACATGAAACTACTGTTTGCACCATTTCTTCAACTAACCGTCACACAAATATAATGAATGAATAAAGCTCAGCTGTATACCAGGGAGCAGAGTTACAACTTGTTCTTTTCTTTTTAAAAGGTGCATGCTTAGACCAAATTGATAACATTCTAATAATAAATATAAGCCAGTTCAGTATCTGGGATTGTGAGGGTCTCAGCTATTTGACCGTCTTGAAGGTAAAGCCTGATCATTAAAAGTTTTCAACTTTCCTCTCACCACAATGCGTTGATTAGTTTTGAACCTTTCTAATGCACACAATGGGGCGCTGATCACTAACATCAAGTTCCAAGACACCAGAAACAGGGTATTTTTCAGGTCTGTTTGTTCTTATCAAATCAATTAAGCTCAATCTTCAAATTTGGAAGAGTAGGGTGAGAAATGAGTTGAATAAAATGAAGGTGTCAGTGCTTCTGGGAGACGGGCATTGCTGTCAGACAGAACAGGGCCTTGTTGTTCTTGTATGTAGTCCCTGTCCCTGTTTGTGGTGTTGTATGAGGATACTCAAATCTCTGAGAGAAAACTATGTTCTATCACCTGCTGCCACTGACACAGAGAGGAGACACAATGGTTGGCTCATGCCAAGCGATCGTCTTGTCACTAAAGACTACAAAACCCAGGCAGTTCAAACACAATGGGACAGGAAGTGGTTTGCAAACCTCAGATGAAGTAGGGAAGCTGAGGCTGAATGTTATCGAAGGGCAAAAAGAAAATCATTTCCTGTCTCTCTTCAGCTGTCATACCAAAGCAAAAAATTGTGATTGAGAGAACTCAATAAACTCCATTGTGCCAGACTCATCTCCGAATAATTCTTTGAGTGTATCCAATAAACTCCAATAATTGTCCTGAGATGTGTTGTGTTACGTGTTGAGGGAAGCTCAAACTCTTCTTCTGGCCTGCATCTTGACTTCTCTGACCTGATTTAACCTCTTTAATTTGGATTATTTCAAACAAAAGCAGGTTTTAACAAATGAATGAAATTGAAATATTCCTACTTGTTTGCTTATACTTCTATAATGACATGCATATAAACCTGTATGCAGATACACAACATACAATTAACCCCATGCAGCCTTCCTGTTTAATAATGAGGACATGCAAGATTCCCTTTATCAGGTCAAAAGATGCATCCTTTAATCTGAATAAAGATATCTATTTTAATCTACTATTATAATCTGTTTTTTTTCCAACATGTTTGTGGATTTTTTGATGAACTCAAGTTGCAACTTCCCACCTCGCATGGCTTACACATGTAAACCAGCTTATGGAAATTTTGCACTTTTATGGGTACGTGAATCTCCCGAGAGAAAACTGGATTATCCTGATGTTGTATATTGTTACAGGGCGGTGCAGAAAATCCTCAAATTCACAAAAGGGCCTTTGTTAAAATTACATACAACAGGAATGTCAAATATTGTGACAGCGTTAGGAAGATGCATTGCACTTACAAAACTGTAGCTCCCGAAAATATAACTCCTTCTTATTTAGGCTGCTTAAATACAATTAAAAAACTACATTTCAAGCCAGACCGAACTCCTTATTATGTGCTGCATGGTGAACTGGTTCTGATGTGGACATCAGAGTCGAACAAAATTAGAATTTTGATATGGAAAAGGCCCTGCTCTGTGTGCTCCTTATCAGGTTGAAGAGTCTGTTTACTGTGAGCTCTGGCTCAGTGTGGACTTCCTTTGTCTCCCCAGAGGCTCGATGAGTAATATATAGAGTATGTTGAGACGCAAATCGTATCTGGTTTAGATGTCTTGGTTTGTTGCAGTTGGTAAAGTTCATAATTTTAAAGGTCCCATATTATGTTTTTTCTGGTTTTATATGCTCTTTAGTGTGTTTTTCAAGTGTTCTGTGCATGTTTAGGCCATCTATGTGCAAACATTCAAAGTCTGCGTAATGCGGCTTCTCCTACGTCTCCTGTTAGCTGTAGCATTAGCTGCATGTAACGCTCGGTTCTAGCCCCCTCGAAAAAATTTTGACTTCTTGTCAGTGTGAGATCACTGATCTAAGCCCATTGGCTCGTTGTAGCAAGCCCAGCAGCTCATGTTGCAGGCCCATTAACTTCTGTAGCACGGCCACGATATGCTGTAGCCTGCGGTAGCACAGTAGTGCTAAGGTGCTCATGTTTATGCTATTGGAGGCAGTGGCTGCATTCCCAATATGGTAAAAGGGGCGTGACATCTCCGAGAACCGTGCTGAGCGACTGACCAATTATCTCCCATAAATTTGATCAGGAAATCCTTAGACCCTCACCTTGCTCCATTAAGAAACTCTTCAAGT